GAAGGGAAGGAAAAAAAATTATAGTTTTGGATTGATTTGACGATTATACCCTTGGATTTAACGGTTTTTTTGACAGAGGGACTATTTAAGAGTACCTGTATTAACGTTAGGGACCATTAATAATACAAAAAAACGTTAGGGATGCAATGTGATAATTTCGCAAACGTCAGGGATGTTTTGTGATAATAAGCCTAATTAAAAAAAACCCTAGCAAAGCCGCACGGCTATACTCTTTTTAAAAAAAATATTGAGTATAGCCGTGCGACTATACTCTCGCATATAGCTATTCAATGCCCACGTGTCAATAGTCCTTTTAATCCCTATTTTTTAATTTGGTCAATTTGATTCCTGTGTTTAGGACCATTAGCCAATGTGATCCAATCCGTTAAATTTATGTTAAAAAAATTTAAAAACTGTTTAATTAAAAAAATAGATATATTTGAATTCTATTTAAAAATAGATAATTAAATAAGATCTAAAATTTTGTTCTGGGCTACTTTTTGCAGCCAGACCCAAAGGCCCCACCTCCACTACACACACCCACCTCCTGAACACACCCCCCCCACCACAACAAAAAATCGCTGAGCAGCCTGTCCCTCCTCCTTGATTATGCCCATCCTGTTTTTTTTCCTTCCAATGTTATGTTTTGGTTTTAATGAAGTTTCAATATATTTTTAATTTAATTAAAATTTTAAAATCAATTTCAAATAAGTTTATAGGTTTTCAAAAAAAAGAAAAAAAATGTTTATTGAACGGCAATTTTAATGGAATGTACTACATTGGCTAATGGTCCTAAACACAGGAACCAAATTGGCCAAATTGAAAACACAAGGATTAAATTGACCAACGTGGTAAAATACAAGAATTATTTTTGCATTTGAGCCTAAAAAAAAAACAAAGACCATAGTAAAGCTGCGTGGCTATACGATTTAAAAAAAAAAATCCCGAGTATATCCGCTCGGCTATACTATTTATATATATAATATATATATATATATATATATATATATATATATATATATATATATATATATATATATATATATAAAGGGACACGCATAGCGCCTAGGGCCCGCATAGCGATTCGGTGCCACGTGTCCAAAAAAAAGTATAGTCGCGCGGCTATACGCGTTAAATATATTATATTTAAAAGGAGTACAGCCGCACAGTATACTATTTATTTAAAAAAAAAAATCCCAGTAAAGCCGCTCGGCTATACTATTTTTTAAAAATAAAAACCGTAGTATAGCTGCGCGGCGATACTCTTTAAGTATATTATATTTAGAAGGCGTATAGCCGCACGGTTATACTATTTGTTACAAAAAATATATATAAAATCATGGAAAATTCTTTTAATTACCAAAAAAATATTGTAAAAACTATTTTAGTATTCCAAAAAATTGATTTTAGCCTCCAAGCCCGAAATCCAAGTCTCAAACCAAAAACCCTAACTTCTAAACCTATTGCAAAACCGTTTTCAAGCCTCGAACCCTAACATAAGCCTACTCTAGGACCCTTATGACTCAATTAGGCTTAGATACTCACATAACTCGACCTAGCATTTTACGATAGTATCTTAGACTTATTTAATTACTTGAATTAGTAATTAGTTTTAATTATTATTTCTTTAGTGAATAATTAGTATTTAAATATTTTATTAAATTTCAGAAATTACTTAATAAATAGTATTTAATTCTTTTAAATTCTTTTATGGACTTGAAACACTATTTTTACTTAAAAAAAACCGTTAAATCTAGGGGTATAATCGTCAAATCGATCCAAAATTATAATATTTTTTTTCCTTCCCTTCTCTCTCTCTCTGTTTCTCTTTTTTTTTCTCCTCTCTTTCCTCCTCTTTTCTTCTTCTTTTCCTTCGCTGTTTCTTCTTTATGACTCAATTAGGCTTAGATACTCACATAACTCGACCTAGCATTTTACGATAGTATCTTAGACTTATTTAATTACTTGAATTAGTAATTAGTTTTAATTATTATTTCTTTAGTGAATAATTAGTATTTAAATATTTTATTAAATTTCAGAAATTACTTAATAAATAGTATTTAATTCTTTTAAATTCTTTTATGGACTTGAAACACTATTTTTACTTTCCAAAAGTATTTTTAAAATAGTTTATATTATTTAAAAATCCTGTAAAATTAAATTAAGTACCCAAAAATATTGTAAAAACTATTTTAGTATTCCAAAAAATTGATTTTAGCCTCCAAGCCCGAAATCCAAGTCTCAAACCAAAAACCCTAACTTCTAAACCTATTGCAAAACCGTTTTCAAGCCTCGAACCCTAACATAAGCCTACTCTAGGACCCTTATGACTCAATTAGGCTTAGATACTCACATAACTCGACCTAGCATTTTACGATAGTATCTTAGACTTATTTAATTACTTGAATTAGTAATTAGTTTTAATTATTATTTCTTTAGTGAATAATTAGTATTTAAATATTTTATTAAATTTCAGAAATTACTTAATAAATAGTATTTAATTCTTTTAAATTCTTTTATGGACTTGAAACACTATTTTTACTTTCCAAAAGTATTTTTAAAATAGTTTATATTATTTAAAAATCCTGTAAAATTAAATTAAGTACCCAAAAATATTGTAAAAACTATTTTAGTATTCCAAAAAATTGATTTTAGCCTCCAAGCCCGAAATCCAAGTCTCAAACCAAAAACCCTAACTTCTAAACCTATTGCAAAACCGTTTTCAAGCCTCGAACCCTAACATAAGCCTACTCTAGGACCCTTATGACTCAATTAGGCTTAGATACTCACATAACTCGACCTAGCATTTTACGATAGTATCTTAGACTTATTTAATTACTTGAATTAGTAATTAGTTTTAATTATTATTTCTTTAGTGAATAATTAGTATTTAAATATTTTATTAAATTTCAGAAATTACTTAATAAATAGTATTTAATTCTTTTAAATTCTTTTATGGACTTGAAACACTATTTTTACTTTCCAAAAGTATTTTTAAAATAGTTTATATTATTTAAAAATCCTGTAAAATTAAATTAAGTACCCAAAAATATTGTAAAAACTATTTTAGTATTCCAAAAATTGATTTTAGCCTCCAAACCCGAAATCCAAGTCTTGGGTTTATCAAGTCGACAATTCGAATGCGGCAATGAAGCAGTTTCGCAGAGAATTTGGGCTTTCAGCTAATACTAATGCTCACTATGGGGATTTTTAGGGTTTTGAAATCCCTTTAGAAATTGAAAACAAGAAATTGTTTGTAGCTCACTTGCTGTTATTAAGCGAGGGAGATTTCATTAGGAAAACGATTAAAACGCCAAAACACTGCGCGTCGTTTTAGCGGTTTTATCAAGCAAGAAGGACTAAAACGCGGCGTTTAAACGTGACACCGTTTATAATCTTTTAGATCTCGTTTTTCTGTCAAGCTTTTGTTATTTCCTTTTACGAGTTTTTTGCTGTTTGGATCATTCGTTTTTTGTTGTGCTGATAGCTCACTGATAGATTCCTGAGAAAATATGGACTCGGGCATTGCGAGTTTCTGTAGCTGTTATTGCAACCGTTGATCGATTATTGGTCTGTTTGGTTGCCGAGAAAGCCTGAGAAAGGTAATGAAAACTAGCCTACATGCAAAACGACTAGTCGTTCATGTTTTGAATTGATTCAAAAGACTGAAGGGTTTGTATTATTTCATAAATCCAAATCTTCAACACCCTCGCTGAAAATAAAGTTGTTCACTTGATTGCTCTGCAGTTTTTATTACCCACCAAGTATTTGATGAAATGTGCAGGTGAAGAAACAAATCCACTAAAATGTGTACTTGTGATTGGTTAGGTTGAAGAAGTAAGAAAGCAGCGTGCCACATTCGTCCACAACCACAATGCGTCAAATGCGTACTCGTAGTCTTATGATCACACTCTACATCATCTGCATCGTTATCAGCTGCTCAAATTCAAGCCATGGGAACACGTTAGTATATCCAAATGAAACCCATTTTGCACATTTTTCTGCTTTGATGTTAATCTCTGGGCACATTGCCTTAAACCCAATTCACTACTCTGCACCCTTTTACAGGACAGACGGCAAAGTTTTGAATGTTGGTGAAGAGCTGTGGAAGGAAACTCTGCCACTAAAAATGGGTTCACGCCTTTACCAGCTTCAAGGACTGAAGCCTGATACGTGGTATGAAGTGAAGATATCGTATCCAGCTTCTGTATGTGTTTCTAAAACTTTCAATGGAGTTTCTTTATGTTGCTCAGCAATACCTTTATGGGTTCCTTAACTTGCATTTGTGTGTTCACAGATACCTGCTAGATTTTCCATACAACTCAAGAGAGGGGACTTGGAATCTGCACTGACTGGGAACAGAAGATTACTAAATACAGAAAAGCTGATTTTCAAGACTGAAAGTCTTGGCTCGAACGATCAGGTTCGATTTTTGCTGCTGAATCTTTGAATACTTAGTTTCATTAATTTGAATTTCATGAGATGCCCAGTGAGTTTTGGACTCTGCTGACTACTTAGGGTGGCATGTATGTGTTGGTGAGTGTGGAGCCAGAAGGAGTTGTTGCAATACCAAATGTGCAGGAGAGGGAACACATCATTTTCAATATAGGTAATGTAATATCAATCAAATTTGGCATGAGAAATTAAAATGTATTTTTTACTATAATTTTTGCTGTGTAATGCTAGGCACATTGCAATTTGTTTGTATAACAAAGCTTATCTCTTACATGTTGGTGGCAGTTTGTGATGAACTACTATTGGGAATTCCGTACAAAGCTTGGTGGGTTGTAGGTTTTGTGTTGGTGTGCTTGGTTTTGGCGTTCACCATCCCAGCATTTCTTCCACCCTTTCTGTTACGGCCAGTGGATCAAAATGCTTCTAAAGATTCTTGAATATCTGACTCATAAAAGTGGTTGGCTTCATCAAGTTTTGGTTATTTCAGTATGATCACGGCAGCTCCATTTTAGACCAATTGAGGCATTGGAGTATCTAAGATTTCAGTTTGGTCCCGCAGTACATTTTGAAGCAACTTCTGGGCATTGACCTGACCATTATTGGCTTGCAATTCGAATGGTGCGTTTTCTAGTTTCTCTTTTTGCTTGTTCTCTCAAAGAAGAGTAGATGAGATAAAGTCCTATTAGCATCAAAATTTTATGCTTTTTAATTTTCCTTTGCGAATTGGATCTTGCAACTGTAGACAGATGAGCACATTATTTCAAATTTGTTAATGTACTCAGGCAATGAAATCACTTGAGCAGATGTAGATATATGGATTAGCACATTCTTTCCTCTAAGTTTTCCATTTTACTTGTCTATTTTTGTTTGTCTTCCACATCAATCAATGAATGTAATGTGATTTGAGAATGGTGAATTGTTAGGGGATTTATAGCAGAACAAATATTAGCTTCACAAGCAAACAAAAACACCAACCACATTTGACAATTTGCACTCCTCCATAAACCAACTCACGCTCACCATTTCTATATATCAAGCATCACGAACTGCCCGTACGCATTAGCCCTTTGCTTCGCAGCCGCATAGTTAGATACATAGTTATATAACCAGGCGATCACCGTCATTGCTGCCATGCCACAACAGCCGGAGAAAACAAATCCGGCTGCTATGAGGAGCATGACTAATCCAGCCGGGACTAGAATTGGACTAAACAGCAACAGGACAGGGGTAGCCATGATCAGGGCAATCACCGTCCCGGTCAGAGTTAACCCGTACAAGAATAACAGCGTGGCACCAACTGTGGCTGCGGTCAAGAGCTTGACTGTTTGGTGTGAGGGTGGAGCTGACCGGCCGTAGAGGTTCTGGGTAATTTCTTTTGATTGATTCGCCATGTTTGATCAAGAAATCTCTGTGAGACCCTGTGGATGCTGTGGAAATTATGGGTTTATAAAACGTGATGTCGTGTGGTACGTGGCGGGTTGCATGGGATTGAGTTTTGTGAACTGGAAACATGTCAAAAGAAGTGAATTTTTTGCGTGGCAATTTGTGAGCAACAAGGAGACCACCATGTGTTGATGAGGTGGCTGTTCTGTTTTCCTCTGCAACTAGGTTGTCCAGAAAGCCTAATATCAATGAAAACGACTTGTTTAAATTTAGTTTATCCGGCAAATGGAATAACTGCTTTGGAGCAATTGCTCCCAGGTAAGCTTATGGATTGTCCAGAAAGCCTAATATCAATGAAAACGACTTGTGGTTATTGTTTAAATTTAGTTTATCCGGCAAATGGAATAATTGCTTTGGAGCAATTGCTCCAGGTAAGCTTATGGGCTAGCATTCGTATAATGTTTCTAGCATAGAGTCCTAGCATGTGGTGTTTATAAGACTAATGAGGATTTGGAGCAATTGCTCCGGGTAATGTTGCATCCGTGTAGTGTTTATAAGATTAATGAGGATTTGGAGCAATTGCTCTCCAAACAAATTTTGAATTTGAGTCCTAGTATCCTTGTAATGTTTTTGAGTTTAGTATCCTTGTAATGTTTTTTAGTATATACCCCTCTTTAAATTCGAGTCCTAGTATGTTTGTAATGTTTTTGAGTTTAGTATCCTTTCTTCAAAATATTTTTTGTAAAAGCGTCACATAGGTTTCATTAGGGCTTCAAAACTTATTAAAATTTGACTCGAATTCAGAGAGAGGTATATACTAAAAAACATTACAAGGATACTCAAATAGGGGTATATACTAAAAAACATTAATGTAGATACATATAAATCACCATGTTAATAGGTCAAGTGAAGTTACTGTCCAGAACCCTGAGCAAATTGAAATCCTTTAAAACAAAGTCGAGTTTTGAATAACTTGTAATGTTTTTTTAGTATATACTCCTATTTGTTTTTTAGTTTAGTATCCTTGTAATGTTTTTGAGTTTAGTATCCTTGTAATGTTTTTTAGGGGTGTTTAGTATTCTTGTAATGTTTTTTAGTATATTTGAGTTTAGTATCCTTGTAATGTTTTTTAGGGGTGTTTAGTATTCTTGTAATGTTTTTTAGTATATACCCCTCTCAATAAGAAATGTCCTTAAATTTTAAAAAAATTGAGTATCCAAACAACACAACTTACCCAATTTGCACATTCTAGTCTGCTTTTGCTTTGATGTAAGTATAGATCCTCAGAAACATGGTCTTGCGCCGAAGTTACTGTTTTATTATAAATCTAGTTTTCGGCTGATCAAAATGCTTGAAACGCTTCTTAATATTTTCACTCAAATTTAGTATATGATCATCAGTGTTTTAGAAGTACAGATACAGTTCATTAAGAGCAACTTCTCTGGGAATTGACCATCAACTTGCAAATGAACCAAAGACATGCGTACATAGCAGGGCTATGACAAGCAGAAATCAAAGGAGTTTTTATTTTCATCAACAAAAAGCTAAAACACCAAACCAACAGGATAGTTTATTTTCTCGATACATAAACCAACCCTGAAATTCAAAAAGGGCAGAAGTACTGCCCATACAGGTAAGCTCTTTTCTTTGTAGCCACGTAGCTAGATATGTACTTGTACATCAATGTCAACGTTGTTACTGCCGCTACGCCGCACCCGCCAGAGAAAACAAGGCCGGCTGCTGTCAGGAACACGACTATCCCAGCCGGGACTAGGATTGGACTAAACACCACCAGTACTGGGGTGGCCATGATCAGGGCCATCACTGTCCCGGTTAACGTTAACCCGGACAGGACTAAAAGGGTTGTCCCAGCTGCGCCTGCTGTCAAGAACTTGCCAGTCAGGCGTAGGGAGGATGGTGGGGCTGCTGGCTGGTCGTGGTCCTGGAGCTTCAGGGTGACGTGTCTTGATTGATCAGCCATAGTGATCAGTGATACAAAGAGTCAGTGCTGCAGGAGGCGGTGATATATAGATGTGATCATGTGATGACGGAGATGTGGCGTGGCACGTGGTGGGTTGCATGAGTTTTGCGTTTAAAAATGGGAAACATGCATATGTGCTAAGTGGCACTAGAATGAATGCTTTACGTGGCAGTTCTTGTTTCTGGCACTTTCTGAATCTGAACTTCAAAAATCAATCGTTTTTGATGAGGTGGTTGCTCCTGTTGATGGATTTACCGCGAGCTTCTGTAGCTCTCACTGCAACTGCTGTCAATTACTTGCTTCTGTTACCTCTGTTCTGTACGGCATTAGTTGCTCAAAGAGCACGAGAAGTGTAAATACAATAAAATATAATATATCAAGGTTAAAAGTCACTTTTAGTCTATGTAGCTTGTTGGTCTTTCTCCTTTTAGTCTCTCTAGTTTTAATTTTGCCAATTTAGTATTTGATTCTTGAATCCATCCAAAATTCTGTCCGAAATATCATTTGTCAAGAAATTGGACGGAAATTTAAATGTGTCCTTAAATTGCAATACAATTAAACTACACATGAGTTAAATTGCCAAAATTAAAACCATAGGGACAAAATTTACATAGAACAAAAATTGACTTTTTGCCATGTATCAAATAGCACCAAAGTCTTTTGCAATAAAATCTCTCACACTATACAGATAAAACCCTAAGATACGACTTTTGTGATAGAATTTTATAAGTTAAGTTGGAACCTCACACCAAGTGATTTAGGAGGGTGTATTCAATTAAGATTTTAAAAAAGTTCAATAAAGTTATAAAATTTATAAAGTTTAATATATTCCAAATAGAGTTTGACTAAATTATATATGATGTACAACAACAAAGGAAAAATAACATAACAAAATAAAATTGCACACCATACGATTGCAAGAAGGGAAGAGAAGAGACTTTTTACCTCCGCTTGACAAGCACACATGAGGGTACAACAATAAAAACACACACGATATATGAATTGCAAGAAGATCATATATATATGAAAACATACATAGAAAAAGAAGAGAATATATTTTTTTTACCTCAGACAAGCACACACATTCAAAGATTATGGAAAACATAGAGCACGTTCAAAGTTTCTAGGATTGACATAAAATTTGTCATGACCTTTGGTATTTATACTTACCACTTTAAATTCTAATAAAATCAAACAACTCATTAATTCTTTCAAAATAAATAACTTTTTGAATACACCTAGATTTCAATATATTTTTTGAAAGTCAATATAAATATGAATTGAATACACCCAAACTTTTACAAATTCTTTTAAAATCTTAATTGAATAGACATAAACTTTTAAAGTCTTTTAAAAGCTTAATTGGATACGTAATTATACATCAATGTTAACGTTGTTACAACCACCACGCCGCAACCGCCGAAGAAAACAAGACCGGTTGCTGTCAGGAATACATCTATCGACGTATTCCTGTTGAGTGTAATTATAGTGTGGTACAAGAGTATGACTACGTGATATAATTTATTCATGTATTATAATATAAATAGATATTTATTGATGTTATATGGTGGAGAAATCTAAATTATATTAATTAAGTGGACAAATTATACAGCATGGCCGTATTTCAGTATCGTTGTGTGAACTGAATCCAGGGCCAGCTGGCAATGACTGGGGATGTTGTCGCGGCTGTGACTTTGATGTCTCGATGATATTAGCGCTGCTCATATTAAACATCCCCGAGGACGCTCCTCATCCAAATAAAGAAACCAGGTAAAATCACCTGCGCTTACTACCGTCGATCTCGTGGGCCCCACGAGACTCAAAAATTGGTAAATCTACCCGGCAACAGACATATACCCCCTAAATTTTGAAAATATTTAGACAAGGCCAGAGCGGGAGGGAGCACGTGGCGACAACTCAGAATTCGACCGTTGCGAAGTGCTTATTCAAGCCCCATCTTTAGCCTTCGCTTTCCTTCAATCTTACGCCCCTCTCTCTCTTTTTCTCTCTCTATCTCTCTCGCTTTCTCTCTCTTCTCTCTCTCATGGCGATCGCTGCGGAGAACCAAGCCCAAGAGAAGGTCAGATTGAAAGAAAAACCTTTCAAGTTTCAATTTTTTTGTAGCCGTTGGGATCTTGAGTCCCCAAATTCAAATGCTAGGGTTTTAATTTATTTTCGGTTCTTTTGTTTTTCTCTGAAGATGAGATGTTTAATAGTTTTTCTTGATGATGAAGATAATGGTTTCTTTGGGTATATGTGAATTTTGAGATCGCATTATCAAAATTCGAATTCGAGCCTCTGACTGTAGGGTTTTCTGATTGGAAATTTAGGGCTCGAGGTGTAGGTTAATTAGCTTCAATAGGGTTTAAAGTGCTAATTGGTGAATGTTTATATATTTAGGTTCTATGAGGATTTTTAAATATGGGTTTTCTTTCATCAGGCTTCTTCGGAGGTTTCAGCGACGGAGACAAGAAGATGGACGCTCAATGACTTCGACATTGGAAAGCCTCTTGGCCGAGGAAAGTTTGGTCACGTCTATTTGGCAAGAGAGAAACGGGTATGTTCTTCTTTTTCTTCTCCTTTATGGCCATGCATTTTGTAAATTTTGGCTTTCTTTAGCCGCTATTTCAATTATTTTTGGTACTAGCATTCGTGGGGTTTTCTTGTGGGGTTTGTGTAGTCAAGGAATTAATATTCTATAGCTGTCGACTTGGGTTTCATTCTTGATCTGCGAAGATTGAAATGAAGAAGAAAATAAAATTTTGAAAAACATGTTTTATGGACCACAAATAGAACTGCCAGTTTTTGTGGCTTAATTATACTTATGTAGTCCGGAGTGCCGATATTCTATTAACTTTAAAAAAAAATGGAAAGAAGATGAAGAGTGAATGTGTGTGAGACAGAATGAGAAATTTTGGTTTATAATATGCATTCTTATCAAATGAAGTGGAATTTAAATGGTGTCTCTTTGTTTGCCTACTTTCAATTGTGCACCTAACTTGATTTTTTATTCCTGGAACAGAGCAA